TTTGCGAGGGGGGGGGGGGTGGAAGGAAGGGTGCTATGGAAAAACTTTGTAAAAGTGGAACAATAGGGGGCATAGAAAATCATGAGGTAACTCCAAAAAAGTAAATGACCCTTATCTTGTCTTTTGCCAAACAAGCCAAAACCTGGAATGTCAGCTGAGGTAGACATAAGAGATGCATTGTACAACTGATAGAAACTCCTGAAAATATTTTTTAGTGTGAAAATGCAAGTCACTGCCTCTCCCAGCATACCCTGTTCAGGGCTTTTTGAGCCAAATGTCATTCCTTTGCAACTCCCTTGAACTGAATGTAGTCACAGATCTACTTCTGCCCAAAATGAATAGCTTCCATATAGTTAAGTGATGTTACTGTTAAGACCATGCCTGAAATTATTCTGTCTTGAAATCACCATGCCTAATTACACTGATGTGGAGTTCTCAACAAATTTATAGGCTAGATGCCCTAAACCCCAACAAGACCCATGTATTTTTTAGGATTCGCTCTACAACTCAAAGAGAGGAGCTGAAAACACACTGAAGTTTATAGTTCCAACTGATATTCTGTGAAGAAGCGGTCTGAAAAAATAGACATTTCATGAAACCTAGTACAGGATTATGTATCTTCACACGGATCAACTCAAACCTCCCCCCCAAAAAAACCCCCAAACCCCACAAAAACAACAAGGAAGCAACAATCTAGCAGAACTCCTGTGACAAAAGGATGGAGAAGGTGGCCTCCTGAGGTCTCTTCCAGACATGTTTTGGAAGTTTCCATGGGCCAAAGTCTAGTATTCTCTCACAGTAGAAGAAAAACACAATACACCAACTTGTGCCAAATGTGGGTTAAAGAATATTTAGTCAGCATCCTTTCTCGTGTTGAAATTACAATCCTATTAAAACAGCTGGAATTATAGTTTAGCAGGGAAATTGTATCATTAAAAATCAATTCTTCATGAAGTCGTCCTTGGAAATACCAGGCTGTAACAGCAGACCATGAACCCAGCCTAAGCCAGGCCTTGATTTATGCTCTTGTGATTTCAAGGCAACCTCTGAATAGCTATTGTACCATTTACTGAGACAAAAAAATTGACTGACAGTGGATTATGAAAAAGCATATCTGGATGGTACAAAACTACGTCAGATAATGTTATAATCAGTGGATGCAGAATTGTAGACTAGCAAGAGGAAACTTGGCTCGTCATGGTGGGGTAGGGAAGCACTTCAATAATCAGAATAAAGGAGAGCAGCACACGATATCACCATTTCTGTGTCGGGATTTCATCCTCACTTATTCTTTTTTTGTTTGTTTGTTTGTTTCGCTGTTTTAGGTGCAGGTCTCAGCATCAGCGATAATGAATCTTGTCGTGGCAGCCAGGATGGTGGCAGCATGGCTAACTCCCAGATTGTAGAGCTTAGAAGAATACCCATAGCAGATACTCACCTCTAACTCCATGGCTTGCTTGGTTTTTTGTTGTTGTTGTTGTTGTTTTTTTTAATTCAAGCCTCAGTATTTTTATATTTGTACTTCCTTTTGCACTAAAACACTATATGAAACTGTGTAGTAGAATGCTGTGAGCTTTACTGAATGTTTAACAAGGAATGTTTGCTTGAGGTTTTGTATATCAGAAAATAAACTGTAAATTTTTTACAGTGGCTGAGCATCAATAGATACCATGGCAATCGGCCTAGATTTGTATCTTGTAGCTAGATGGCATATTTCACAAACTGTAGCTTTTTTAATTAACCTGTACGTGTAACACTGATTAATAAAAACAATAGAGTCCATTTGATACAAACAAGTCTGTTATTTCTGCTTGCTGCTTGCGGAGCTGGAAGATGATGCAGACACCCTGTTGGACAGGAAAGCTTTTTAATTACAAAGTTGTTCTAAGTTTTCTAAGCTGTACTCTTCTCACTGGTTTTTGAGTACCCAAATCTGTGAACTTTACAAATTCAAATAAAGACACAGTCTGGAGCCAGAGAGCTTGAAATTTAAATCATTACATGATAAAATATGCAATGACCTGAAACAAATGAAGGGAAGGGGAGATGAAGAACAAGAGCACTGACACTGCATGCTTTCAACTGTGTTACCTTGCTGGTTTCATAATAAACTCTCTCTTCTCACAGTCAGAAATAAGGGGGAATTCCAAAGAGTTGAATTTTCTGTTAATTTCTGTGGGTGTTACACAGATATCCCTGTTCTGATTGAAGGGTTCAAGTATTGCATTACAAACAAAGTTAGATCAGTAATCTAGGGTCATAAATGAGCAAGAAAAGTTCCTTCCTTGGAAAAAAAAATATAGAGGAAGTATTTCAGAACTGAGAGGGGGAGGCAGGCTGATCATGTAGGAATCATTAACTCTGCATCTGCACAGACATTCTGGAAGAAAACACATTAAAGCAAGAGACCAAGGGAATTTTCCTCTGAACACTTCTGAGCATAGTATAGAAATACAGTAAATGAGAATGCAAGCCTTTCATACCTTCTTCAGGAACTTGCCTAAAGGCTTAATGCTGGGCAAGCTCTGAGCAACAACCTCTCCCTTTAAAAGAAAACTTTTCTTATGGAAATCTTTCTGTGAATTTTGCTGTAGTGATATACAAATTTTACTGTATGCAATTACTTGTTGAGCTGAAAAAAAAAACCAACAAACAAACAAACCCCACTTCTGTGCCCCAGTTCTGTAATAGCTTGTAGGACTGCACAGCTTACAGTCATTGCTTGAATCCAGGGCAGACACAATCTTTAAGGTCTAATGCAAAAGCACTCACAGACACAGGAAACTACTTCTAGTCAGCAAAGCCCTTAAACAAGTGCTTTTTAAGGACACATTTGAACTGATGGGAAATGAGAGTACGTCTATATTTAATTAGTACATGTTCTGCTGCATCGAGTCTTAAATTTCTGACTCCTGGGAGTTTTGTTGACTCTGTTTATGCTGGTCACGCTATGGAGTAAACAGGGCCAAGTGTTTGTGGGCAATGACAAAACTTACTCGGGGGGGTAGGGGCAGGGGGAATAAGCCTTGCTTCACCATGGGCAATATACAGAAGCACAGGGCATTCAGGAAGACCCACGCCCCCAGAAGGGGCAGCCTTTAAAATCGGGCGCAGTGCATCGGAAGCATAGTGGGCAACTCTGTACAAGAGTAAATAATCTAAACATATTTTATAATTCACTTTTCTTCCCATACCTACACCTGCTGAAAAGGGACTTTCTGGGCATTTGAATGAACTGCAAGTATCATCAAAATAAGTCTCTCAGTCTGGAGTTAAAATTAGTTTTTGACACTTTGCAATATAGTGCTTTTTTATTTTCTACACAGGAAACCTGGCTCTTGAAGAGTTTTTTATTTTATTTCATTCTTTCTGAATCAACTGAGATGAGTGTTGTCCATTGCTGATACTTCTCATTACCCACTAAAGCCCTAACATGAAGTCTGGCCCTGCAGAATCATTGCAACACTTGCTCAGTTGCGAGAGAGTTAGGGCTGAAACAGATGTTTCATTACTCCAAGTACATGCTACTACATGCTGTGAGAAAGCTTATAAAAGAAGGATGTTTGTTTGATTTTGACTCACCACCATAAATGTTAATACTTTGTGTCACTTCAACTTGTTGCACAACTGGCCTGGTTAGGGATTTACTGTAAATGCATCAGCATTTTCAGAGCAGCTCAGTAGGATGACGTCCGCTGCCAGCATTTGTTGAATTTTAAATCTCTAAGTGGTGCTCACGTGGTTTAAGATCATGAGATGAATTTTGTTATTGTTCTAGAACCATTTTTTTCTTAAGAAAATATTCTGTGTGTAGGAAATTCAGTGTTTTAATAGCATGGGTCTCTCTCAGCTCCTTTTTGCAGTTCCTTGAGCAGGCAAAGATTGCAACAGGAGCAGAGCAGCTGTGTGCTCTGACTCAGATGTGCCTAACAGCCACACCTGGACAGGAGGAGTACCTTTACAGTTGGCTTGACTTAACCTAACCAGACTGAATGCCTCCTGCCGTTCCCTGATCTCAGGCATTATTTAAAATTTGATAGAGAGTATAAATATTTCTTTGTTTCTACGAGACAAATGAATCCGCAGCTAGGTAGCTTTCAAATCAAGTGTTACCACAGGGCCTGCCATGCTGAAGTGGCTAACTTATTCAATCCTTTGCTTTGTTCCTGTATAGTGAAGAACACCAGGACACTTGCTGCCTTTGCTTTTTTCCCTATGACAGGAGCCATCATTTCTCTGCAAGAGGCCATTCTCCATGTTTCGACGGGTAGAAGGAGCTGTGGTTAATTTGCATGTAACATTTAATAGTTCACTCTGTGAAGGAGATCCTTTTTCCAGACAAGGTTCACCTAAAGCTTCTTAAATATGTATGTAGATCAGTTGAATGAATGGATGTGTTTCAGGAGTATTTCACCACTCATATGCCACCATAAGTAAATTCACTTTTTTAAAAGATGTCTGAATATATTTCATATTCAAGTGCATAAGTGATGAAAAATGCTAAGTTCAACAGACATATTTTAGATGATGTTTTAGGGAAAGCCACTGTGGAAGACTCTGATTTCACTTTTCTTGGTACATATCCAAAATAAGTCAACTTGTGTCAGGGACATGAACAGAAATATTCAGATTTATTTTCTTTAGAACCTAGTTGAGAGCACCAATATATCCACCTTCCGTCTCTATCATGCAAATGCTTAGTACTCCAGTATCCTACATCCAAAGTCATCATCCTGTTGAGAACTGACAGTGAGAGCTTTGATCTGCAGAGGATTGAATTGTATTGAGAGCTTTACAGAAATAAAGTACCTATGTGCTCAACATAAAAGTATGTTAAATTGACTGATCATGCAGAGGTTTGACTAGAAAATTGCTTAAGTTCAGGCATATCCTGCCTTCAGATATATTTCATAGAATCACAGAATCATAGAATTGTTAAGGTTGGAAAAGACCCTTAAGATCATCGAGTCCAACCATTAACCTAGCACTGCCAAGTCTA